CATCTTATGGTTTCCAGTATAGAAAGAAGGTACATATCGGGGGTGCAGTCAGAAATTGGTGAGTTAAGTGTCAATTTTTGATGTGTTTGTTCACTCTGAATGACTACATTCGAGCTAAAATATATCTCAAAAGTCCCAATTCTCTAGGCCAGAGTCAAAACTGATCAAATTTGTCATCATTTTGCAAATCAGGAGGTTGTTGAATGGAAAAAAGTATGAAAAAGTGATGATTTTAGTAAGATTTTGCCAAAAAGTGGGCCAAATTTGTCCAATTTTCTGGTTCACGGTTCAGTGATTTTGGCTAAAAATCGCAATATGCAATAAAATACTCAATTTCTTGACACGATAATGAAAAATGTCACCATCAGGCAGTGGATTTCATGATGTAAATGAAAAACTAGTCAAATTTAAAGGAAAACCATTGGGTTCTTGGAAAAATGACCCCAGGGGTAATGAAGTAGCCATATTTTTCATAATTGCTGTCAGAATATTCTTAAACTGCACAAAACTACTTGAAAAACTCTAGTAAATTGGAAAAACGCAATTTAAAGCCAGAAATCATCCAACCATGTGGCTATTAGTCACATGTGAAAGTGACCAAAATTTTTTAAAACTACTCAGAATCGCCCAGAATTGAAGTTTATTAGTGTGGAACATATTTTGGACGGAGGCAAAAAGGGGAATTTTCATGAACAAATTTAATGTTTTTGCTGAATCAGCAGTTTTCGCTTTTTACCCCAAAAACCACTGATTTTGACGATATTTGGCTACAATTTTGTCCTTAGTGACCCCTAAATGTCATTTGTTGTCGTAAATGGGGAAGCCAACGAGTTGCTATTCATAATAAAGATTGAATTTTCCATCTTATGGTTTCCAGTATAGAAAGAAGGTACATATCGGGGGTGCAGTCAGAAATTGGTGAGTTAAGTGTCAATTTTTGATGTGTTTGTTCACTCTGAATGACTACATTCGAGCTAAAATATATCTCAAAAGTCCCAATTCTCTAGGCCAGAGTCAAAACTGATCAAATTTGTCATCATTTTGCAAATCAGGAGGTTGTTGAATGGAAAAAAGTATGAAAAAGTGATGATTTTAGTAAGATTTTGCCAAAAAGTGGGCCAAATTTGTCCAATTTTCTGGTTCACGGTTCAGTGATTTTGGCTAAAAATCGCAATATGCAATAAAATACTCAATTTCTTGACACGATAATGAAAAATGTCACCATCAGGCAGTGGATTTCATGATGTAAATGAAAAACTAGTCAAATTTAAAGGAAAACCATTGGGTTCTTGGAAAAATGACCCCAGGGGTAATGAAGTAGCCATATTTTTCATAATTGCTGTCAGAATATTCTTAAACTGCACAAAACTACTTGAAAAACTCTAGGAAATTGGAAAAACGCAATTTAAAGCCAGAAATCATCCAACCATGTGGCTATTAGTCACATGTGAAAGTGACCAAAATTTTTTAAAACTACTCAGAATCGCCCAGAATTGAAGTTTATTAGTGTGGAACATATTTTGGACGGAGGCAAAAAGGGGAATTTTCATGAACAAATTTAATGTTTTTGCTGAATCAGCAGTTTTCGCTTTTTACCCCAAAAACCACTGATTTTGACGATATTTGGCTACAATTTTGTCCTTAGTGACCCCTAAATGTCATTTGTTGTCGTAAATGGGGAAGCCAACGAGTTGCTATTCATAATAAAGATTGAATTTTCCATCTTATGGTTTCCAGTATAGAAAGAAGGTACATATCGGGGGTGCAGTCAGAAATTGGTGAGTTAAGTGTCAATTTTTGATGTGTTTGTTCACTCTGAATGACTACATTCGAGCTAAAATATATCTCAAAAGTCCCAATTCTCTAGGCCAGAGTCAAAACTGATCAAATTTGTCATCATTTTGCAAATCAGGAGGTTGTTGAATGGAAAAAAGTATGAAAAAGTGATGATTTTAGTAAGATTTTGCCAAAAAGTGGGCCAAATTTGTCCAATTTTCTGGTTCACGGTTCAGTGATTTTGGCTAAAAATCGCAATATGCAATAAAATACTCAATTTCTTGACACGATAATGAAAAATGTCACCATCAGGCAGTGGATTTCATGATGTAAATGAAAAACTAGTCAAATTTAAAGGAAAACCATTGGGTTCTTGGAAAAATGACCCCAGGGGTAATGAAGTAGCCATATTTTTCATAATTGCTGTCAGAATATTCTTAAACTGCACAAAACTACTTGAAAAACTCTAGGAAATTGGAAAAACGCAATTTAAAGCCAGAAATCATCCAACCATGTGGCTATTAGGCCAAAATGCCCTAATACGTCACTTCCGCTGAATAGAAAAAAGTAGTATTCAAAAATAAATGTAGTCCCAACACAATTGTGATCATGACGAGTCAGTAAGCTAGTATGTAGGCACAGTTGTAATCTTTTTGCAATGACAACATGCCATTTCTTCTGAAAATGCGTTTATTTGGTTTATCTGAAGGAAAATTTCGAGTCAAGTGGCGTATTAATTTTGCCTTCATTTTTGTGAATTTCAATTTGTGTCTGCAGAGAGAGGGGGTAGTGTCACAATTGACCAATTATTTCAAAAAGTAGATGATTGGCCCCTATTGAGTTTAGTGTCAAGATGTAGCTTAGACATAGCTTTAGAACCTCAGATAGGCCAGTGAGGCCACATAAATCCATAACTCGAGATAAAAAGTCAGGCGTTTGCCCTTTTGCCCATTGACTAGTATGGTGACGTGAATTAGGGCAGTTTTGCCTATTAGTCACATGTGAAAGTGACCAAAATTTTTTAAAACTACTCAGAATCGCCCAGAATTGAAGTTTATTAGTGTGGAACATATTTTGGACGGAGGCAAAAAGGGGAATTTTCATGAACAAATTTAATGTTTTTGCTGAATCAGCAGTTTTCGCTTTTTACCCCAAAAACCACTGATTTTGACGATATTTGGCTACAATTTTGTCCTTAGTGACCCCTAAATGTCATTTGTTGTCGTAAATGGGGAAGCCAACGAGTTGCTATTCATAATAAAGATTGAATTTTCCATCTTATGGTTTCCAGTATAGAAAGAAGGTACATATCGGGGGTGCAGTCAGAAATTGGTGAGTTAAGTGTCAATTTTTGATGTGTTTGTTCACTCTGAATGACTACATTCGAGCTAAAATATATCTCAAAAGTCCCAATTCTCTAGGCCAGAGTCAAAACTGATCAAATTTGTCATCATTTTGCAAATCAGGAGGTTGTTGAATGGAAAAAAGTATGAAAAAGTGATGATTTTAGTAAGATTTTGCCAAAAAGTGGGCCAAATTTGTCCAATTTTCTGGTTCACGGTTCAGTGATTTTGGCTAAAAATCGCAATATGCAATAAAATACTCAATTTCTTGACACGATAATGAAAAATGTCACCATCAGGCAGTGGATTTCATGATGTAAATGAAAAACTAGTCAAATTTAAAGGAAAACCATTGGGTTCTTGGAAAAATGACCCCAGGGGTAATGAAGTAGCCATATTTTTCATAATTGCTGTCAGAATATTCTTAAACTGCACAAAACTACTTGAAAAACTCTAGTAAATTGGAAAAACGCAATTTAAAGCCAGAAATCATCCAACCATGTGGCTATTAGTCACATGTGAAAGTGACCAAAATTTTTTAAAACTACTCAGAATCGCCCAGAATTGAAGTTTATTAGTGTGGAACATATTTTGGACGGAGGCAAAAAGGGGAATTTTCATGAACAAATTTAATGTTTTTGCTGAATCAGCAGTTTTCGCTTTTTACCCCAAAAACCACTGATTTTGACGATATTTGGCTACAATTTTGTCCTTAGTGACCCCTAAATGTCATTTGTTGTCGTAAATGGGGAAGCCAACGAGTTGCTATTCATAATAAAGATTGAATTTTCCATCTTATGGTTTCCAGTATAGAAAGAAGGTACATATCGGGGGTGCAGTCAGAAATTGGTGAGTTAAGTGTCAATTTTTGATGTGTTTGTTCACTCTGAATGACTACATTCGAGCTAAAATATATCTCAAAAGTCCCAATTCTCTAGGCCAGAGTCAAAACTGATCAAATTTGTCATCATTTTGCAAATCAGGAGGTTGTTGAATGGAAAAAAGTATGAAAAAGTGATGATTTTAGTAAGATTTTGCCAAAAAGTGGGCCAAATTTGTCCAATTTTCTGGTTCACGGTTCAGTGATTTTGGCTAAAAATCGCAATATGCAATAAAATACTCAATTTCTTGACACGATAATGAAAAATGTCACCATCAGGCAGTGGATTTCATGATGTAAATGAAAAACTAGTCAAATTTAAAGGAAAACCATTGGGTTCTTGGAAAAATGACCCCAGGGGTAATGAAGTAGCCATATTTTTCATAATTGCTGTCAGAATATTCTTAAACTGCACAAAACTACTTGAAAAACTCTAGTAAATTGGAAAAACGCAATTTAAAGCCAGAAATCATCCAACCATGTGGCTATTAATGTTCCAAGCTTCGCTTCAATCTAGCGCATGCGCGGTGCCTCGAAGGAAAGGGAAGGGGAGGGGTTATCTTGAATTGAGTCATATGTTTTATTTGTTTGTACGCTTGTAAGATGTAGGGGTGTGAAGCAGTTTTAAAGCTCGCATCTAGGAGTTAAATATATAACTCAGAATTCTCGTTCCCATCTATCAGTCTATACATCCACCATTTGCATTCGTTTGACTTCGCTTCTTAAAAGAGAGCGTCGTCTTCAATAGCAAGACTCTGCGCGCAGGGTACATCTATACAGTCTATACGTAATGATATGAAGGGGCTGCTGGTCTTGGTATAATATGCTAGGTGTGTAATTATGCTTATTGTATAGCAGTGAAATGCTGTATCAATTGTATTATTTGTACAGATCATAATATAAAATGTGTAGAATTGTATTGGGTTGTGTTGTATTGTATTACATTGCATTTTTTTGTATTGTGTTATATTTTATAGTGTATTTGAAATTGATCGTTACTTATGTTCGTTTATTGTATACTTGGGCTATGGTGGCTGATAAAGAACCCATCCAAGGTAGGTTTGCGCAATGTCTACTTGACGGTATTGTCCGTATATTGTACTGTTCACTATATGTTCGCAAATAGCATATTCAATAGAAGTTCTTGCTATTTCACTTTATTTTCCTCTGTGATCTCCAGTTTTGATTACAATGCAGCCATTGTGACTCTTTCCGAACGGGTAGACTGTGGGTCTAAAACATAAATCAACAGTATCATTTCTATTTGATGCCAGTGTGGGTAGGATCAAGTCTGGCTAGCGTCAAAGATAATATGAAACCGAAAAGGAAAACGCTGCTATCGGCATTGAAGTTTGGGGTCATCATGTTCTGATAAAAAGTGATATGGAAATATTTACGCGTTACTTTTCATGGTAGTGGAACTTTTCAAGAGAGTATGGGCTGAATGATGTACAAGTGACCTTGTGCACATTTTTTAGAGGTTCTAACTATGAATTGATTCTGCAGATCCTCTCATGATAAAAACAACAAATGATTTAATAAATTCAAGATCTTATACTCTGATGATATTGATAATTTCTCCTAAAAGTGAACGCCTCCTTTCCCAATTTTACTTTCCAAAAAATGAAAATTCTCACAGCACAATTGTTGTTTTGTCTCGAAAATCTTAAAGCAAGTCTTATGTTATCTACACATGGATAAATATAACATCCTTCAAAAAAGTGAACTATTTCCTTCAGTACCTCAACATAATAAGATAAAATGAATTTTAAAGGTTATACTCGTATTTTATACATTTTAAAACAAATTCAACAGTGATGAGACGAGCGTTGTTTCATCGATGACGTTTACATCAACTCGTGTTTATATGTTAGGATATGAACATCACATTGTCATAGTGTTTTTGGCATTTACGCTAGCACTTGATCACATAACTGAACTTAAACATGTTAAATGACTTAGGTAGCCTTCGATTCGTAGTACACTCCCCTCAATAAGTTTGGAAACAGGAAGTTTTCATCGGAGAGCGTATCAAATCTTGTCAACGTTTGAGTCTTCATTTTGCTCCCTCGCTGTAATAGTTCAGAAATTTATGACAAATTTGATGAAGTACTCTTAATTGCTAAATACAAACAGGCTCCAAAGCGCCATCCAGAGGAAGACAGTCGCTTTCCAAACTTAAAGAGGGGTGTACGTACTTCATGTGGAGTAGGACGTACTGGATTTTCTGCTTGTATAGTTTTGTTAGCACAGTTCAACATCAATTAACAGCGCATTTGTTTTTATACGCAGTACGGTGCCAGAACAGAGATTGTGGTAAACTTTGGGAACGAAATTGTAAGCGATACGGCAGCACAAGGCGTAACTGATACGTACGCTCTGGGCTATGCATTCCAGAAAGCTTGGGTAACTGGAGTTTTAGCTACTGCAGAACAGTAGATCAGATTATAAGACAGTCTGGCTCGGTGTTCGTTTAGAATCAGGCTTCAAGCAGGAACAACTGTGTATTTATAGAAATCTAGCGCAACGTCCATCCATTACGGACAGGTGAGCGAATTTAGACAAGGCGAGTTCTGTTATTTACATTAGTAGAAGAGGCCACTTTGGAAACAAATTAGGAACAGGGTTGATTATAGACGCTTAGAACTAGATCCACGAGAATACATTTATTGTTTCTGGACTGTAACTTTACTGTTTCGAGGATATTCGAAATCAGTATCTATTAACAAAACGTTAATTCACAGAATGGAATAAGAGACGAGATTAATGAGAGTGGTTGGATTAATGCGAACACGTTTGAACAGGTGAGTGATGATTCGGAAAAATCTAAATGGTCTCTTAGTCATATACAATCCCATGTGATCCCATCGAATGTCGAAACACACTCATTATTTGCTGCACTATTTTCTTAAAAATTTGGTCGGGGATATAAATTACAACAACACATCAACGGGTGACATATATTCACAAGTCTAGCATCGCGTCTCTGATCGCCCCATCCCCATCCCCTCCCCCACACGACCCCTCCCACATATTACCCCATTTCTACTACAGCTCTCACTACATTCCAGTACATTAGAGGAAAGGGACCTAGGGCAAAGCACAGAGGGCAACAACAAGTAAAAACATTCTCAAAACATAATAGGAACTGTACAGATCATAGTGTACAACAACCCATTATATTTAACCATATTTCTCCCATGGTTTTCAACTGTATTATAGATAGCCAGATTTAAATTGTTCTTATTATCGTTTATACATAAAACTGTTGTCTATTGATGCGTTCTGTATTCAGTCTACATATGTTCAAATGATGATTCACTGATGACTCGGTGTGAGTTTTACTCATATCAAACTGATTTCTTGACCATGTCGAGACACCCTGCAGTTTTTGGCACATGAATTTTACACCCTGTAGTTCTTGGCCAAGGATCTAGCTGTACACCTGCGTGGTGGCTCATTAAAATGTATAATATCCATTTATTTACTTTCATCGTTTAACATGAACATTTGAAGATATATAATTTGGAAATTAATGATAGGTTGACAAAATCTAAGATTATCATTTTTAAAACCCACAATGTTTTTTCATTGATTGGTTTTGTTTTGTTTCTTGGTATGTCAAAATGATATATTACTTAAAACCATTTCCCAGTTTCAATTTGTGGAATGTTACAATGAGTTTTGATTTGTTTTAATTATTTTGATTCATTAGATGATATGTCAGAGTTGTTATATTTTGCAGGATATTTTGTTTTTCCGATGACATAATGTCAAAGGTACAAGAAATCTTGTTTGTGTTAGATGCCAATACAAAACATCTTATGCTTTTTCGTCTAGATGTAAAAGCAAGAGCAGGAATGTTTAACTTTAATGGATGCCAAAGTTGCAGCAAAAATAACAAAAACTCACTTTTTCAAAAAGTTCTCATTTATTTTATGAATCATAATGTCAAAGAAACAGTTCTTATTTCTTCAAATATGTCAAAAGTTTAACGTTTTGTTACCCTTTGCATTCGTTTGACTTCACTTTTTAAAAGAGAGCTTCGTGTAGTTTAACTAGACTCTGCACGCAGGGTAACGTTTTGTTTAATTGATGTCAAAGAAAGAATAAGTTGTCAAAACAAGAATAAGTTGTTTTGTTTAATTGATGTCAAAGAAACAACACGTTCTGATTTATTTTCTAATGTCAAATCACATCAATTGTCTATCAAAAATACAATTTATATTTCAATTTTCAGATGTCCAAGATACAACAAGTCCTGCGCTGGTTGAAGGAGAAGAAGGGTACCACGGAGAACCGAGATTCAAAGGCTGACATGGAAGAGAGGGCCGCACTTTGCCCTACCCGGAGACAACTCCCACCTGTCCCAGCCACTGGCCGTCATAGCACTCTGATCAGCCAAAACGTGTATGAGGAAATTCCAGACGATAAAATATATTACGTCAGGACAAAATTCCCTTATGCGTATATTGAATCTCAAAATCTGTCCAAGAAACAAAATCCTCTATATAGAAGCCAAGACAATATTGAGCCTGACATCATCAGGGACGCTGAGAAGTCAGGGCCTGATTATAGAGATCACCCGCTTCTGTTTCAATGGTGCCCACGATGTAAAATACAGTGGTTTGGCGACTTCCAACTTTGTTTAAAATGTGGTGGTGAAAATGAGCCATTGAATCATTATGAAGGTGACCGGGTGCGGCACATGTACGAATGCATTCCGTACGAGGTCAGTCACGTGACTCCTTTAGATGGCGCCACTGGAGGTGATTCAGCAGACGGCAGGGTGTCGTATCTGCAACTCCCGGAGGATGAATTATTTCAAAGTAGTGATTTTCAATATCAGTTTGCCAGAGATAGGATAGCGTATAATATGCTACTAGGGGTCAATGAGGACACAAGGCCGCCACTTGTAGGGGATTCGAGGGCAAGTTACCCTCAAGCCGATGGTTATGATCACGCCATGTTAAAACCTAAACATAAATCCCAACCTCTTAGACACCAAGGATTATCTTTCAAAAACAAACCTCACTTAAAAGCTTTCCAACCCCTTATGGAAACAACAAACAGCGGTAGTCATGGTAACGGTGGTTACTGGGAGCTGGATTCTTGCACCCCTCCCGCAAGTCCGGGTGGATATTTGATCCCAGCACAGAGTAAAACTAACATACCACAGTGTCAGGATTCTAGCTTTAATAGCAAACCCGATCACCGTCTTACCGAGTCATCCACTGATCTAAACAATTTCACATTCGTGGCCCCACGTGCAACTAGGTGCAAATCAACACCAAATTTCCACAACCGAAGTAGCGTGGTCAAGGGTGAGAATGGACGCATAAGTATGGGGAATATAAACATGAGTTATCACGAAATGGACCCCGAGGATCGGCTATCCTGTAGGGCCACAAATTTTAAACTTAATAAACCACTAGCTAAGCCAAAAGTGACAATTGATAACATCAAATCGGATGAATACGATGAATATGATTATAACGGAGGATCAGGCGACAGCTCGAGAGCTCTAAATAAAACACTAGAGTATCTCCTCCAGAGAAACTTTGACAGACTTATCTGAACGATACATATCCGCCACGCTTTGACGCATTTTCTGTAAATCAACGCTTCTAAGGGCATTCAATGTTAGCTGTACGTTTAACGTCCCTTCATTTTCCTCAAAGAATGAGACATTTTCTTTATATTTATGATCTAGAATCATATTAAACAGAATTCCTGGTTTAAAACAATTTTATCTCTGCTATCATATTGTTTTTATTAAATCGTTTACTCGAACGCAAAGGGCGTGTTCCATCATAACACACAAGAAACCCATTATGGCATATATAATACATGTTTCTTGTTAAATGCGTACCGTTTTTCACCTAAGAGTCTCCCCTCGCCAAAACGTTAAACATATAATTAACTTTGAATGACCTGATTAAAACGACGAATTGTATGAATAACAATGTGAATGTAAGCGTTTTTTCACATCCAGAATTATATACAGCGGAAATAAATAGAAACCTCTGCCAAATTGTTATTCAAATTCATTATCATTTAACACCATATCAAGAAAATTTCTATAAAAGAGTGTCCGACTGAGAAAGAAATGGTTTCACTAAATGTTGTTCAGGACGATAAATACATCCAATGTTCTATAAGATGGCGTTGGAATAGACTTAACTCAGATTTTAGAATTGTATAAAATGGAAATAACTAGACACAACTTATGTGTTTCCACTTATGATGACACTTAGCGTCCAACTGAGCTCAGACTGAAGAATGCTTTGCACATCAGTCTATTAAATCCCTCCGAGTGTCAGAGGCCAGCGTGCTAGCAAAGTAAATGAAGCTTTCTTTTGAAGAAGTTAGATAAAACAATTGAAAAGGCTTTTGTATTCCTTCTGACTACCTTGACGAATCAAGATGACCAAGATTAACCAGAACACCAGGCTATGCATACGGTGCTGTACATAAACAAGCGGCGCGGATATCATGTGCGCATGGTGCATTTTCAAACTTAAATTCGTAATATTTCCCAAACAAAGGCATGCTGGGTACTCAGTTATATTCATACATGTGCACAAGCTCCCTGATAAGAGGAAATTGTGTCAATAGGTGTGTACTTCATTCTAGAGCGACACATCATGCAACAATACTCTCTCCTAAGCAAATAAAGTGACAGACATCCGCACCGTTTGTTTAAAGGAAGCACATTTCCGAAAGGTGATTTCATTTTTTCAAAAATTCAAACAGAAAGTTTATGACTTTCAAAATTTAAACAAAAATTAATATCGATACGTCATCTCGATCACCAATGCTGAATGAAGGCTGTAATTATAAACGGTGTCTTAAAGCGGCAGTTTCAATTGCTTTTGCTTTGGAGAAAAGATGAATGCTCAGTGCGTCATTAAAGAACAATGTACATAATTATAGACAAAATTTCCCTCCTATTACGTATCCCCTACAAATGGGTGAATATAATTGAGTACCAAAATGCTTTACGTGTAGTTCCTGAAATAACACAAACCAAATTAAAAAAATGACCGTTGAAGTCCGCATCGTGCGCTCGTGATATCCGCACCGCTTCTTTTCGTATAGCAAAGTCTGTATAGGGTGCAATATATCGAGTGCATTAGATGAAACTTTCTTTTAAAGAGCAAATTCAAACTACTGTACTCCCCACCATGTCTTAAACAATTCAAGATAGATATATTAAATTTTCTATAAGCTATTTCATTAAAGTAAAGATGGCGCTGAAGTAGCCTTTTATTAATGTTTGCTACATGCACTATAACATAAAAGATGGCAGCATTATTCATCAGTTACATGAACGTTTACAAGAACGGCAAAGTCCTCTAGCGATCCACAGCGTCTACGGATTTATAGAAAATATTATCTATGCATATCTGAATGCATCTCGGCAGCACATCCAGGATTAGAAATAGGCGAGGCAAATAGAAACATAAATAAGGCAAATCTTAATTTACAATAACTCAACCAAGGTCATTCATTGAATGGTTGTCAAGGTGACAACTTGACTTTAACTTGATTCAAATTGATGCTTGACCAACTTGACCCTTGCGCATCTCGTGCAAAGGTTGAAATAAAGCCTTTTTGAGGAATGATTCAGCCCATGATTCAGTCCACTAGGCCGATGATATCACACTCGGCCGTGCTCGATTCGATGAATGCATCAAACTGAATGTCAAAGTTACGATGAATGCAATAAACTGAATGTTGAAGATACGATGGATGCATCAAACTGAATGTCAAAGATACGATGAATGCATCAAACTGAAGGTTAAAGATACGATGAATGCAATAAACTGAATGTTGAAGATACGATGGATGCATCAAACTGAATGTCAAAGATACGATGAGTGCATCAATCTGAATGTCAAAGATACGATGAATGCATCAAACTGAATGTCAAACATACGATGAATGCAATTAACTGAATGTCAAAGATACGATGAATGTAACAAACTGAATGTTGAGGATACGATGAATGTAACAAACTGAATGTTGAGGATACGATGAATGTAACAAACTGAATGTCAAACATACGATGAATGCAATAAACTGAATGTCAAAGATACGATGAATGTAACAAACTAAATGTTGAAGATACGATTGATGCATCAAACTGAGGGTCAGAGATACGATGAATGCATCGAATTGAATGTCAGAGATACGATGAATGTAACAAACTGAATGCTGAAGATACGATCAATGCATCAAACGGAATGTGAAAGATACGATACTTTGATGCCAGCAAGATAGTAAACGTATACATTGAAATCGGTTCATGTTGTTTTTTCATTGTTTTTTATTATATAATTCAAGGCTTGAACAAGTCATACTTAATAACAAATAACCATCTAAACATATTTATATCGCAAGCATTGCAATGATGGATCTTTCTGTTATTCTAGCATTTCTTAAAACGCATCCATATAGAGCCCATCATAGCAATGTTACATAATCATAACATAACGATGTTAAAGTCACCCCAATTTCGACAAAACAAAAGGCTTGCACAATAAGCAGCTCTACAAAGCAGGTTGTCAAAATTACAAAATCAGATAAAAAGAATGACACTATATTAGTCTAAACATTTGTTTGCAAGATTCGGTTTCACCAAATAAGCATCTGTTGTTCAAAGTTAGTATTTCATTTATTATAAATATTTTATTTAATACAAATATAAGAATTTGTTTTACTGGTAAATAGGATGAATGATATTGTGTATTTGTTCAATGAACTATAACATAAACTAAAGTGTATGCAATTTGGCATGCATTGTCGTGACATCTATCTATAGTATGAATGAGTACACATTCTAATACATTAGATCTATAATAAGTACACATTCTAATACTCTAAAATAAGAACACATTCTAATACTCAAGTCAAAACCAGAACAATCAGCAAAGAAGCATTGTCAAAGCGAAACTCAATAACATTTCTTGAAAATAACAAATAATAGATCTACGATATAAGGCACACAAGGTTGGCTAAGCGTTACGAACCATTGACGTCAAAGAGATACTAAGGAGGTTAAGCTACTTGTACGTGAAGAAACGTGAAGCTTAATCTCCCTATTTACAGTTTAACAAATGTAAGCTCTAGATTTCAGAACCAGCTAACAGAGCTCTATGGCAAAATAAAGTTTAAGCTTATGTAAAACTAAACATGATGACTTAGAGCGCGAATTGAAACTAAAATTTGCACAGCAACGTGGCCGATAATATGTGAACGAGGTAGAGGCGACTCTCATTTATTATGACATTTGCGTCAGAGAATTGTTGTATGTGACTTGATTTTGTGAAAACCTCTAGACCAGGGGAATAACCAATCATTTTCAGTCTCGAAACTAACCAGGAAATGAGTCGTTAGTATTATACACTAATCCCAGATGACTGTGCCGTTCTACTGTCTCATATAATCGGATTGAAAGCGTAGTAAATTAATCCACGATTTATTCCAATACTTTCGTCATTCAAGAAAATTGTTGCCATGGTGTCAGGTTTTCACAAAATAAAGGCTTTATATTATGAAGCATCTCTGACTGAGGATTATACACTTCCCTCCAAAAGTTTGACAATTGGAAGCCCCCATCTGGATCACTTGTCAAAGCTTCTTTCGTCCGAACGTTTGTTATAAAGAAACATAATCAAGATTCAAGCATTAAGAAGCCTTGATGCTATCATGCTATCCAATGGATATTCCAGGTTTCTAAACTTGTGGAGGGGAGTGTATATAAATGATTTAGTCAAGCCTTTTTAACTTCCATGACACCACTTGTCATAGAAGACTTGTCCAATTCAAGAATAAAGGTGCAAATTATGCAGTTAACCGTGACTTAAATATAATATTTAAATTGCAATAAATATCAGAAACACATTGATGTACATATTACATAAACAGAAACGATTGTCTATGGTTATTCTGTCTGATCATATCAGATAACATCCGGTTGCTATGTTGACGCTGTACGTTGGTATGGTTACCGTACATAGAACCATAAAGATCGTCTGATTGTGCTATCCCTGTGGATGTCAATGGTATTAGATTTTGGCGTAATTTATTAGGGTTGTAGTTTGTCACTCTGCACGATAATCGGTCCATTCTATGAAACGCTCCTGTTGTTTGTGCATTGATTGTTGTGTCATCTTTGGAAGACGTGATGTTCGAATGATCGGGCTCATCCAAACTTAAAATTTCCTCAAGTGTTTTTCGTGTTTGTTTCTCTTTCCGTTTTTCCGCTTTATGTGAAACAGTTCGTTTTGAAGTTGAGGTTAACGTAGAGGCTCTATGAATGTCAGTGTCATTTACAGAATGTGTCTGTCTTGGGCTACCAGGCTTCGGATGGGATGCCTCTTGGCTCCCTTTCTTTCGAAACATTCTTGATTCTGCATGTAGTTTTTTTGGATGTCCCGACTCATTTTCTAACTTCGATGGACTAGAAAACGGAGGGATAGTGTCGATATCTGTTGAAATGGACGCATGCGCTCTGGATAACTTTTTCGATCGTGAGCGACAATTGGTTGGTAAAGTATGAGATACACTCTCATTGTCGCTATTATCAGTTGAGCTTTTTATCAACTGAACCACTTGTTGTTTTAACGTGTGATTCTGGTGTACTTTTGCAAGGAAATAATCGTACTCCGCGTCGGATTTATCAGAATATTGCTCAGCTATCTCCGCCTGGTAGCATTGACTACACTGGCAAAAATTCAAATTATTAAAATATTTTTGGTCACTGGTCTTGGCCTCGTTATCGTACAAGTGATATTCCCGAGTGCGCATTCGCGAATCTTCAATATCCCCAAAGCTGCCACCGCTGTCATGGAAACCATCAGATGGCGAAAATGTGTACGCAGTGTCTATATCGTCCATGTTATCCAAATCGGCATTGATATCGTATTCATTGAATGTTCCATTACTTGCATTTCCTAAACTGTTTCCGCTTTTTATTGAGCTTCGTTTACTACTGGTTGGGCTCGTTGAACTAAGAGCACTACCGTAGCTATCACAAGAACCATTGTAATCGCTGCTAGAGATATCCGCTGAATCAACACTTTTTGTAGACTCACGAGCTGCTTGAAAAAATACGTCATTGACTTGAAAAGATTTCTTAGGCTGGGATTGGAGGTCAGTTCGAGATGCAGTTTTCTTTGGTTCCACTCGATGATTTAACTCGGGTTTGAACTCACCCATAGAACTCCTTTTTGAGGTACTTTTGTGCAAATCCTCATTATTTGAGTTTGTCTGAATATTGTCTTTGTGTTTGGCTACATTACTATTTTCAGTTGTTATTATGTCACCTATAGATGGCACTCTGTCAGAGTCAAGAGATGTATCTCCTACGGGAGATCGTTTTGCTTTATTTCTGCTCCTTGTTGTCACAGTAGGAACAATGAAATCGGGGATTTCTTCGTAGATATGAGCCGGGCTATCACATACTCTTGGTTTGCGTTTTCCATCTGCGCCAAATCCATACTCGTCTATGTAGTGAGGTGGGAGAGGTGGTAGCGCTCTGTTCGCGTGTTTTATGTCGCTATCAGAATTCTCACGCAGTTTCTTCGTTTTGTCTCTCAATCGTTTCAATAAGATCTGAACTGCAGCCATCTTGCTGTGGAATATGCTGTTACCGTAACTTCTTTGTGACTACCTGGAGATACAAAAGAGAAATAAATTTAAACACTGTTGGAGGGAAAACATATATGTAAATATCCTGCATGAAGACCCTGTATAGTCTATCATTCACAATCTCTTGTCAGGCTCGTGCACGACAGCACATGCGTGCCATCATTAAACGATAATGGACGAAATGTGATCACATCGTCACTACGCATGATATACATTGATATAGCATTATTTAGCAACCGATGTCGTTAATTGCTACATTTTACATAGCGCATCCGGACATGATTGCGCTGCAACTGGCGGAGTGATCTGACAAGGTGAGACACGTGACATATCATTTTGAAATGGACATCCGTGATTGATTAGTTCCATTAGTTGACTCACTTGTTAATATAAAATGACCAACTGAACCAATGATCCATTTGCTTTTTACATTAATCACTGCATGAACTTTCACTGATATTGTTTCATTTGAGTGTTACCTCTTGTGAATGTTTGTTATTTGAAATATGTTATCATTGATTGCGTGTGTTCTAACGGTTGAATAATATGATGGTGAAGTTGGTGACACTAAAGCTAGAATATGAACCTATCCGAACTCAATTAAATCGATGGCATCCTACTGTTTAAGTAAGTATTCAAAACGAAATACTCGTGACAATTCCAATATTGTGAAAGTTAGAATATTGTGACAGATACAATACTGTGACAAGTAGAATGTCACGACGGGTACATCTGTGACAGGTACTTTGTAGAATTCAAAAAAGCCTGACAATGGGAGGCCAAGGGACATCTGTATGTTTAATAAAAATGTAGATTAAAGACAATGGAGTATTGATGATGGCAACATTTATATTTTGTTGATATTTTTTAATGACAGAGGTCAGTCGACTCAATTATGGGGAAGTAATGATAAGGTTCTTGTCTGAGTTGATGGATGGGAGATCAGGGTGAACTTTGCTAGTTTAATTGTATCGACTAAACTACCGTTGTTCTTTTATCATTTAGCATTTCATTTAATGGTACAAACTCCATTTAGAGATAATTAAACAGTTGTGGTTTTGAAAACCTGTTTTTCATTTTTGACATATTTCATATCAGAGCAATAATTTGTTTTAATGATCGTGGTTTTTCTGAGTCAGTGTCTAGGCGTTGAGTTGTATTTTAGAACTGGACAATAGCAACGTTTTGTTAAATGTCCAAGTCAATATTAGTCTAAATGGAAACAATAATCTAATTTCTGTGTAAATAAGATAAGTAATGATAAGTGCGGAGACGGGTGGCTATCTTAATAATCTTAACAGCGCTTATCCAAATAATTCACACGTTAACAAAAATAGTCTCAAATGTGACACGAGATATAAGTAGCATTCCAGGCTTTTTGGAGACATGTCGACTGCTAAACTCAACCTAAATACCCAGTTTAGTTATTTTTAAAAGTATAAATTCATTCAATGTGCTTTATTTTAATAACAGATTATTATGCCATTGGATTTTAAAACACGCATTATAAGTACCACTTTGTCTTCGTTTTTTGTAACTTCCTTTTACCCTTTCAGCACCTTTTTAAATAGTTTGATTTGGTCTTTTAAAAAAGCGCTCCACTCAATGTTATGGGTATTGCCCTAGTGGTGATCTTTTTAGGGAGACGGTCGTCAAATCAAGTTGAAGACGACCGAATATTTACTTATACTGAATGTTTTACGTTTGTGCAATGTATCCATCATACAACATCATGGATTACCATGGTTACCAGTGTTGCATTACCCGTGGTATTATTTTAGCCTTACCCGTGGTAAGAAAAGATGTGATGAGAACATACAACAGTATGACAACAAATGTTTTATCAGATGTACTGAATCAATATGATATTCCACATCAATAATAATCAACCACATCATCTTTGTATACGCTCAAGACACCAGAAAGATGAGATTTTGCGATAAACTAGACATCAATAGCACGACACAATTACAAACCCGGGGTTACAAAACTGAATCACTTTGACTATGTCATTTGATTAACCCCCTTCTACACACAATTAACAAACCGTCAAATGTATTCATATGCGTGCGCTAAGTAGGTGATGAAAAAATGGTAACTGAAACAGATTTTTATTTGTTAATCAATTTTAATTCAAATACGATTAATTACATTAAAGCTGTCCAAACGTCCAGATTAAAGCTGTTTAAACTTCCAATAAGCATGATAAGTATAACATCTGAAATGATACATACTTCAATAAACGTATTTTTACTTGAAATAAATACCCTTTGAGAGGACTCAATTGACTGAAGATGAAATAAAATATATGAACAGGCATGGATAGGATACTTGTCTATCCCCGGCAGGAAAATGCAGTAATAACATATTTTCTCAGTTCTTGTTTCATATCCATTATAGTACATCGTTTTCATCTTATAACTTGTCTAAATATTATCCAAAATGTTGACATTTGATATTTTATTCCTGGGTCTCGTCCCCATCGCCATATTTTCTGTCTACTCACCTGTACTTCCTGATCTAAACATATGAGTTCCATATCCATATCCAAATAATATAATTGTGTACTACAATCCTAGCTGTGCAAACCTATGACTAGTAAATGTCTAACTGTAATTCACTCTAATACACTTGCCATCAATGAACTCGTCTCACGAACTCTAGAAATGATATAAACCAGTTGACCAGAACGCACGCATATCACGACATGCTTTGACCACTTTCCGGTTATCCTTAATCAAAAATAATAATATCCCGTTAGTATACTTAATCAAGCACAACTGAGAAAGACACTTTAATTACTAGAACTTAATTAACTCTGTAAATTAAGCTTCTAATTGTACTGTCTAATGCACAGTGTAATCAGGATGTCCTTTGCGTGCTTGGTAAAACAACCTAGTAAAATATTTTCTTAGCGGGGCTTTAATCAAAGTGGTGTTAGGGAAATGTGTTCCAATTATTTCCTGTGGAGAACGATTCACCTGTGCCCTTTTCGTCCAATCAACTTCAGTCTAGGCCACTTTTCTTTATATGGAAAATGTCGGAATCAGTGGACTACTTTCTCTGAAAATTGCGCTATTTAGCATGGACAATGTTATCTTAGTTGTACTAAAACCTTTCGTCTAAATTCTGATTGCAAAAAAATATATAATTAGTCCACTTTGATTCACTTACGTGCCTAGTCGTTATCTTGCTTTTCTTACTACCTCCAGCAATATTCATTCAATGCTGTATTCAAAGGACAAAATCCCGGGGCAGGTTAGTATTTGAGGCCATTTGAGAACTTGTCACGAAATGCACAAACCGAGTTAATCTTTAGTTACCAAAAGTTAACAGATGATTCCCCTGAAGTTCCAAGTTGGTAATACTTGTATTAACCATATTGAAATAATCCCCGTTAATTTGGGATAATTCCATTGATCTCCAAGGTGGTAGGATTTTTGATCATAAAACGCTCGAGACAATAAAGGTGTGTCCAGACAATTACTGTGATCACAGGACCTTCGGCTGAATATTAAAGCCGGATCACGCACAATGTCCTCATTGCTAATTGAAATATCTTGTATTCATTTGCTCTCTTGAAGTATCTAGCGGGTCGACTAGCAAACAAAGCGTGATCCGGAGACAAGAAATAGGAACCTCAGGTACTATGGTTAACTACGGGGTACTTATCCATCAACGAATGAATTCATATTAGTCTAAGAGTAATATTCACATGCACCTGTTGAAAGATGGACTGAACCTATATTACTATTAGAACGTTGTTATGAGAACCAAGGATATCCAGACCTCAAGTGACATATGGGCCTACAATTTAAGATGGAATATTCAAAGGAGTTTACCATTGTGGTGAAACATTACTTTGTTTTCATTGTATTCGGGGCTACCCTAGTGACAACATTTATTCATTTTAATGGTGATAGCATGCGGTGTAGAAGAAATACAAACCCAGCACTTGTGGCAATGTGACCTACAACGTCCGTACACCTTTTAAACTAAGTTCCTAACCTGTTAAATGTAACCAAGCCATCTTTTAAACAGCTTAGTCAAACGAATGCAAACGGAATATAATATATGATTTTTACTGCACCATTAATAGACTTGGTCCTTCTTTTCTTATTAGAATAAATTAGAAAACTCTCCACTGCCTTTTAGAAATATGAAAAGTATACACCTTGTATCATCTATACATGCGCCAATTATTATGTGAGCATGCAACTCCCCCTGAAAATATGCAGATTGTTCCAAATTTAATTATTGCAGCTTGAAAGTTAGATATATAAGAGACAGTGTCCCTTTAAGTCCGCAAACTAATATTACATTATTTCTCCCAATTTGGAATTGTTAGACGTTTCCTTCTTCACTTTAAAGATGAAATGACAAGAGCTCTTCAGAGTTATGGATTAAACTGACACCTGTGTTTCGGAGGAGCCCTCAATCAAACGACTTACTGGAAAATAGAAAGTACCCTCACATGTCGGTAAAGTACCATCCGTGAATGCTGGGAAATGATGCAACGTGTTCGATGACGTGATGATTGCCCTAATGGACGCTTAATATCACTATGAACATTTTAAATCGCAATCAATATCGCAATCAAACTATCCACACAATGAGGGGAGATTTTGTTAAACTAGAATCGATGAGAAGCGACGTCGTCACCAACTATTCATCTTCTTAACTTAAAAATAATCACCATTTGTATTTGTTTGACTGAGTTTCTCAAGATAGCATCGTCTTAATTTTAATTAGGGCTAAACTCAGGGTAACAGTCATCAGGGTAACAATACGACGGAAGCCCCCGTTGAAACACAACGACTATCTTAGGATCGTTCAGAACAGTATTTACATAACTGAAATTACAGTTTTGAAAACGGTAGAATAAAGAAAGCGTCTGGAATGATTTCATCCAGAAAACAATTTATGTTTTTTTCTTCCATAGAAATTGATTATCTTTCAATAGATCTTCCCATCCCAAGTTCTTAGATGCGCTAATTGCTAATTCTTATTCCCCTCGGCTAC